GCTGCATTTTAAAATTTGTGTTAATTGTTGTAGCACTATTTTTTACTGTTTTTTCTAAAAAATATTTTATATCTATAATTGGTTGAATCCGCATATGCAGAGCCTGCATATATTTGCTGCTTGAATTAATAAGGAAAATAGAAAGGAGACTGAGAAAAAAATCAGAAAGCTAAAAAGAAAATCAGAAGAGAGGAGAAGCTAAGAAAAGGAAGAAATCATAAGGAATAATGACTAACATGCCAATGAGGCTGGGTATGTCGCTCATGCCTGTAATCTCAGCACTTTGGGAGGCAGAGGTGGGCAGATCACTTGAACTCAGGAGTTTGAGACTAGCCTGGGCAACATGGTAAAACCTCATCTCTACTAAAAAAAAAAAAAAAAAAATTACCCAGGGTGTGGTGGTGCAAACCTGTAGTCCCAGCTACTCAGGAGGCTGTGGTGGGAGGATCACTTGAGCCTGGGAGGTCGAGGCTACAGAGAGCCATAACGGTGTCACTGCACTCCAGCCTCGGTAACAGAGTGAGACCCTGTCTCAGAAAAAAAAAAAAGCCAATGAATTTGGCAAGTCCATCCTTGGTGTCCTTTATTGTACTACCATGGGCTCAAAGAGTAAATGTTCAAACAGAAAGGGCAAAGGGAAGGAAGAATATGGAATACTATTTTGAGAGTGAGAAAACACAGGACTTGTCAGTATGGAAAATATTTGTTCATAATATCAAGCTGAAGGGAAAGGCTCAGTTGGGAAGGGAGATACTGAAGACAAAAAAAGGGGGTGCTAGACAAGGTCTCTGGCATTACCGGAAGAAATGAGATCCTAAATCCTAAAAAAGATCCTAAAGATCATCTTTAAAAAAAAAAAAACTACCCCACATGATTATAGTACAGTATCTGTTTTATATTCAGAAATATCTACTTCCTGGAAATAATTTGTTATTGCATAATTCTTACACGAGTTTGGTCTACAAAATTAACAGCTTTCTTAACTTTTTTTTTTTTTTTTTTAAAGACATAGTCTCAATCTGTCGCCCAGGCTGGAGGGCAATGGCATGATTTTGGCTTGCTGCAACCTCCATCACCTACCTGGCTGAGGCGATTCTCCTGCCTCAGCCTCCCGTGTAGCTGGGACTACAGGCATCTGTCACCACGCAGGGCTAATTTTTGTATTTTGAGTAGAGACGGGGTTTCACCATGTTGGCCAGGCTGGTCTTGAACTCCTGACCTTGTGATCCGCCTGTCTCAGCCACCCAAAGTGCTGGGATTACAGGTGTGCGCCACCTCGACTGGCTTTCTTAACTCTTAAAAGGTACAGATGGGGTGTTTGGGAACAGAGAGCTATGAGGTGTGCACCATACTCTCAGGTGTTTCAGAGAATAAACGTTTGAGAGACAGAGAAAGAGGCAGACAGTGAAGAGAGAAAATGCGCAAATGATAAGGCAAATGGGGCACAACAGTGACAACAGATAAATCTAGGTAGTGGGTATCCAGATGTTCTTTGTACCAAACTTAAGAGCTTTTCTAAGTTTTAAATTATTTACAAATAAAAGATTAAAAAAGTGAGAGTTTTTTTCTGAGGATCCGGCAAGATGACAAAGGTAGAGCAGAAGTGGACCTTCCGCAAGTTCACCTAACGCAGCGTGGACCTATACCAGCTGTTGGACATGTCCTGTGAGCAGCTGATGCTACTGTACAGTGAGCGCCAGCGTGGCGGCTGAACCAGGGCCTGCGGCAGAAACAGCACTCGTTGCTGAAGCGCCTGCGCAAGGCCAAGAAGGAGGCACCGCCCATGGAGAAGCCGGAAGTGGTGAACGCCCTTGCGGGACATGATCGTCCTGCCCAAGATGGTGGGCAGCATGGTAGGTATCTACAACGGCAAGACCTTCAACCAGGTGGAGATATAGCCGGAGAATATGGGCCACTACCTGGGCAAGTTCTCCATCACCTACAAGCCCGTGAAGCACTGCCAGCCAGGTATCGGCGCCACTCACTCCTGCTGCTTAATCCCCCTCAAATAGAGGCTCTGCTAATAAAGGCACACAGATCTAGCTCCCCCCACTCCTCCCCCGCCAATATAGAGAGAGACACACACACAGAGAAACTTCACACACCTAAAACAAAGTAGAAAAAGCAACTTCCAGCCAGACAAGGTGACTCACATCTGTAGTCCCAAATACTCAGGAGGCTGAGGTGGGAGGACCCCTGGAGCCCAGGAGTTCAAGGATTAAGTGCCCAAGATCACACCACTGCACTACAACCAGGGGGTGAGGTGGGGAGGTGGGCGGGGTGGGGGGGGGTTGGCGTGGGGGGGGGGGGGTGATAGAACCAGACCCTGTTTCATTAAAAAAGGAAAAGAAATGAAAACCTCGTAGGCTCATTCCTTGAAAACCAGAATAGAGAAAAAGCCTGAGAGTGTTTCTGATTCATCTCTGACAGACTAAGCAGATAGTAGCTAAGACTTTGCTGTGGTGGGATATCCTAAGAAAACAATAACCTGAAGTGAAATAAACTCTAGCAGTAAATGTGATCCCTTCTCAGTCGTACAAATGGGTTGCTGGTGAAATAACTTTGAAATGACTGCCAAACAGAATACAGTTCACTTGGTAAAAAATAAGAGTAATATTCCTTATGTAAGAAATATTAATGACATCAAACACATGAAGTTGTCAAAAATAACAATGACTAAGAGGTAACTTCTTCCCATCTCTGTGCAAAGCTGTTTTCTCCAAGGCAAAAATCCTACATACTCAAGGACTCTCCCCACTCTGAATTGAAGGAGCCACTGTTTTCTTATTGATACTTATCTTCTGTTCCTATGACCCCAATCCAAGGCCAAAGAACTCAGCTAGAAACACTTGGACTCCAAGTGGAAAGCATCCCTCTTCCTAGCAGAGACACAGAACACATCCACCATAGAGTTCAAACTCAAGAAATCCATGGGGTCAAGGTTTAACATGATAAAAAGACATCAACTTAACATGGCACATCTAATTATGTTCTGACACCAAAAGGAATGACTGGTAAGTTAGATTCAAGTTCTAACACACTGAGATTTAATTTCTCTTCAAAGAGCACGCCCAGTTTCCTTCACTGATTCAGGACTAAAAAAATCATATAGGGTCTAAACTCTTGGAATAACTTTAAACAAAAATTGAATCATTACTATATATATATATATATATATATATATTTTGGAGACAAGAGTCTCCCTCCCTTGCCTAGGCTGGAGTGCAGTGGTGTGATGTTGGCTCACTGTAACCTTCGTCTCCCAGGTTCAAGGGACTCTCCTGCCTCAGCCTTCCAAGTAGCTGGGACCACAGGCACACACCACATGCCCAGCTAAGTTTTGTATTTTTAGTAGAGACAGGGTTTGACCATGGTGGCCAGGCTGGTCTCCAACTCCTGACCTCAGGTTATCCGCCGGCCTCTACTTCCCAAAGTGCTGGGATTACAGGCGTGAGCCACTGTGCCCAGCCCCCACTAATATACTTTCTAGGGAGTGTTCAAGGCAACTATTTGTGTATAAAACTATGATTTTTATGAGCTTTCATTATTTACTTCATATGTAATGACCACCAACTATTCCCAAGTACTACTTCCAGCTGGGCGCAGAGGGACTTCAGAGACCCCCCATCTTTAACAGAAAAAAAATTTTTTTTTATTTAGCCAGATGTGGTGGTATGCAACTGTGGACCCAGCTACTCAGGAGGCTGAGGCAGGAGAATTGAGGAGTCTAGAGCCCGGGAGGTTGAGCCTGCAGTGAGACATGACAGTGTCTCTGCACTCCAGCCTGGGCAATGAGGGAGCGGGGCGTGGGGGTAGGGGAGAACGCTGGGAGATAGTAAGCTCAACATACCCCTAGTTTGCAAATGAGAAAAGTGAAGATGAGAAGGCTTGACCAGTTGATACAATTAGCAATGAAATCTGAGTGGTTTTTTTTTTCTGGCCCAGGAATCCAGGCTAGTGTGGGAGATAATGAGAAAAATAATTCAACCAGAGCAGATGATCTGTGAGGGACATTAAAAGATAGGTTAGGTCAGACTGGTCCCAAGAGCCAAACCAAAGACACTGAATGCATTCCTTCAAGCAACAGAAGGATTTCCAGCATTTCCAGAGGAAGGGAAAAGAAACTAAATGCCTAAAGACTGGTTGGTTAGTTAGGGAGGAGCACTGCAATAGTCCAGGTGAGAGATAATAAAGGTATAAACTTTTAAATACACAGAACAAAGTAGATTTTAACATTTGTTTTAACCTAAAATCCCCAAGAAAACCACTGAAACATTTTGTCTCTCTCTGTTTCAGGGAGAAAAACCTCTAACCAACAAATTTCAGGAAAATTTACTGAGAGCCCAAAGGGCATAATTTACCAACAATCTAACATCATCAGAGATTTTAAACAGGCCTCATAAATTAAAACTAAAATTCAACAATATTGCAGGAATCTCAAGTTCAGAAATTTCAGGCTAAACAAGAAATACTTATTTGCAACTAATAACATTTTACTACGTTTTCCAAAGATTTCTTGATTTTGCAAAGGAGTCTGAGTTGGTCAAATGAAGGCCAACTTACTTCCATATGAAAGCTCTGACCCTGCTTATAGCACAGGATCTAGTGAAGAGCAAGGAGCCAATAAATTGCAGAATAAATGAGGCCAGGCCTACAGTGCAGGAACTCCCTCCATCACAGACAACTCTAATGCTAGTCTATTTCGAATAAAGATCTCAATATCGCGGAATCAAGTCTGGAAGAAAAACCCTCCCGGTAGCCTTCGCCGCCTTCCCAGATCAGGCCTCCTACAAGGCCCTCACGGTGCTGTTTTCCCAAAGTAACGCCACCGTGCCACTTCCCGAAGATGACAACCTCTCAGCTCCCTGCCATGTTACCCTCCCTCCAGTCAGATCCAAGAGATGCGGGGAAGTCTCCCAGGGGCCCGATCCGCGTCAGACGAAGCGTTTTCGGGAGCGGGGACTGCCGCCACGACAAGCGCCTTCCCGCGCCCTACTCACCGCGGCCGGGCGGCCGTGCTCGGGGCCGTCGGCGGCGGGCGCCGGGGCTGGGGCGGCGGGCGGCGGGGCAGGGGCGGCGGGCGGCTGCCGGTGCTTGCCGGCGCGCTTGGCCTTGGCCTGGATGCAGCGCTGGTGCAAGGCGAAGGTGTGCTGGCGCTCCAGCTCCAGGCGCTCGGGAGACACGGCTTCGTATCGGGCCTCGCAGGTGCTGTGGTGGCGCCGGCACAGCTCGATGCGCCGGCGGAGGCGCTCCATGACCGCGCTGTGCCGCGGCAGCGCGAACTCCGCCATGGGGCAGGTGGGCAGCACCATGGGCCGCGGGCTGCACGGGCTGGGCCCGGGGCAGCAGGCTGGCACTGCGGGCTTCGCTCCCCGCGGTTACCCCTGTCCGCCTCACGGCCGCGCCATGACCCCGAGGGCAGTGGAGCTAGCTCGCGCGCGGCGGCGGATTTTCCTCCTGCCCCGCTTGGCCCGACCCCCAGCCGGCGCTTGCTGCCCACTTCAAGCCTCGGCCTGTCCCCACCGCCCCGACCCCATTGTTTTCCGTGCAGCCGCCGCCACCGCCATCTTAAAATTGTTTTCTGGGCTCTCGGAAGAAGGCGGGGCCTCGGTAAGAGACCTTGTGCGTCATGGCTGATGAGCAGGGGCCCCTACCAACCAGAGAAGGAATGAACCGGCCGCCCAAGGGCGTGGGGACGAGCACGCAAGAGGCGCGCTCGGGCGCCAGAGCGGTATTTAAAAGGAACTCTCAAGCGAAGGGCGGAGGGAGTCCTCTGGGCGGGCCTCAGTCCTAGGGACGGAGCTAAACATGACTGACAGGATCCCGTCCAAGAGGCGGCTATTGGTTTCCTGCACTTTGCCGGTTGAAGTTCCCTTCCGGCTCCCCAGAGGAAAGAGGAATCGGGCAGGCGGGTGAGGCGCAGCTGGCCAGTCCCCGTCGCCCGCCTGGCAGTATACAGATCATTAAAAAAAAATTTTTGGCTTTGATAAACTCGAAGTAGCTATTTTAACGTCAGTCGTTTTACTTTGACCTCATTCCTTATAGCCAGCCCCATAATTGGTCAGAATCGTCGAGTGGACTGGTAGTTTCCTCTTGCACCATCCCGAATCACTGGTAGTTTCCACCTATTTATTAAAGCCCGATAAAGTTTGAAAAGTGCAGTATTGGCCGGACGCGGTGGCTCACGCCTATAATCCCAGCACTTTGGAAGGCCGAGGCGGGAGGATCACGAGATCAGGAGTTCGAGACCAGCCTGACCAAAATGGTGAAATCCCGTCTCTACTAAAAATACAAAAAAAAAATTAGCCGGGCGTGGTGGCGTGCGCTTATAATTCCAGCTACTCGGGAGGCTGAGGCAGAAGAATCGCCTGAAAACCCAGGAGGCGGAGGTTGCAGTGAGCCGAGATGGCGCCACTGTAGCCTGGGCGAGAGGGAGACCAACAACAACAAAAAAGGGCAGTATTACTCACTACTTAAAAGTCCAGAAGATGTGAACAAAAGCATTAAAGGGAACTGGAAATGGAAAGGATGATACTTCAGTCAAAACTTTTTTTTTTTTGATACGGAGTGGTGCTGTCACCCAGATCGGAGTGCAATGGCATGATTTCGGTCCACTGCAACCTCCGCCTTCAAGCGATTCTCCTGCTTCAGCCTCCCGAGTAGCTGGGACTACAGGAATTCGCCACCACACCTAGCTAATTTTGTATTTTTAGTAGAGATGAGGTTTCTCTTCTCCATGTTGGTCAGGCTGGTCTCGAACTCCTGCCCTCACATGATCTGCCCACCTTGGCCTCCGAAAGTGCTGGGATTACAGGTGTGAACCACCGCCCCCGACCAAAAACAGTCCTTTAGGTAAAACTGAGTCACTCAACAAAACCAAACCAAGGACAATTATGCCCCATTATTAAAACCAGTAGGCAAAAGGTACAAGGAGAGGGACTGGAGCAGTGTTAGTACTAAAACTAGATAGTGTGTGTGTGATGCCAAAGGATATCAGGAACTCTAGATATTGGCACTCTAATTGCTAAAAGGTTAAACAGAAGGTGGCAGGAGGCTGCACACTGAGATATACAATCAGTAGCTCAAACATTTATTACTCTAGCTTTTTACTAGGGCTCATGAGGTTTTATTTTAAAATCAAGAGAAAACAACAGTCAAATATTTTTATACAAATTCGGCAGAAAAATACAAATTCTAATGTTTTAAATGGAGAAAGTGGGCCACCAAGGCAAAAGTGCCATAATGCAGTCCTTTTTCTTTTTTTAGCATTCAAACATATAAATTTTACACCAGAACTATTTTGTTAATAGAAAAAAATAGGAACTAGGAGCACTACAATCTGTGTACATACTTTTCTTTAGTATGTGATCTAAAAGTTTAATAGCACATTAAAAAAACTGGGCATAACTTTCAAAAATATCCCTGAAGTATTTAAGTATATGTAAAATATGGAGTCTGATTCTGAACAAAGAATTTTCTAATAAAAATTTCAAAGTTTAATGGTTCCCATAAGTCTTAAAGAGTATTAACTACAAATCACCAGGAAAATTCCCTCCTTTTCTGAGCTGCTGTCCACATTATTATACAACAGAAACTAGTGCACCACAATCAAGTGGGTAGGAAGAGAAGGCAAGAGCTAAAGATAAAAGACTGCATCAAACTCATGTGGTGAGATAAAGTCATTATTTCATCATGCATAATCATTTCTGCATATTAGTGAACTCTGACATAATGGCCAATTAAAGGAAGATCAACCCACTAACTGAACACAGTAAAACACACACACTGAAGGTTACTATGAAGTAGTTCAGTCAAAAGCAGACACTTAACACAGGGCTTTAATGTAACACCATTTAGTAACGTGACAAATTGAAAAAAGTGAGGAGTACTTTGTGGATAAGAAAACGGAGGAACACATCTGATGGAGAGTGGGCCTTTTACAACAATGGAACAGGTAACCAGCATGTAAAATCATAATATAAGTGCCTTTTTAAGAGTTGAAAACTGCTGCTAGTCATTCATTAATGTGTCAGACATTTAATCAGGATGCTAGACCTTCAACAAAAACTGAAAAAAGAACCGAGAAAAGGCATTTTTGTTTTGAACAAACTTTACTAAATAACCCTGGAAAGGCAATGAACAATCTAACAATTTAAGCTCTAATGATTTAAAGCTCAGCTAGAAGAAAGTGAGGCATGACACAGACCATCAATGGAGGGTGAAGGAGGCAGATTTCTGGAAATACAATGATCCCACCCATTTGCTTCAAGGAGAAACCTGCAGACATATTTTCAGGTCTTGCTAAGTAACAACTGTTTATTTGTAATCAATACATTTGGGAAAGTCTGCTATGTAGCTAAGGTCACTGTGACCACAGAACAACAGATGAAAAGGAAAAAGCACTGAACAGCAAGAAAAATGCATCCCATTCTCAAAAGAATTTAAATGAACTTTAAAAAGAAAAAAAAAATAGATACAGCCTTCCTTTTTTACAAATATATTTCCTCCCCAATATAAACACTGTGGAGTGTTTATATATTCAGTGCAAGGAACAGTATCATCGGTACATTTGAAAGCCTCTAAAGAACTAAAGCTAAAATAACATCTAACTCTGAATATGTTTCAGTGTAGAGTAATAATAACATTACATTATAGTGGTATGGGAGAGGCTCTGATAGCACCCATCTGCATTCTGTATGAAAAAACAAACCTAAGATCACTTTTTAAAAAATTCTACAAGCCACATTAAAAAAAAATTTGAACAGGACTGCTTTATTGTGTAATTTATGACACAACTGTTACATGAATTGCAAATGAAGGCTTAAAATATTTAGCAGCTACAAAAAATCAGGTAACTCATGCTTCATGTCACCCCTCCCACAAATACTTCTAGTCTGTTCAACTGCAGTCAATTCTGTATTGGCTTGCCTCTGAATTAGACTTCTGAAGTCTTTATACAGAGTAAAAGAAACAGATAAAAATCAAAGATTGTATTCTATTCTGTACTTTGACCCTGGAAAGGTATGGGTCTGCTTAAAAGAAAGAAGAAGAAACATACATGTAATCACAATAAAGCTTAACATTATGCAGGGCTTATAATCATTTTCAGGAACAGACTGCAAGCTGCACTGTGAAGAAAATGCATAGCAGAGGAGAAAGCTGGGGATCTGAGGAAACAGGTAAGGAAAAGTGTCAACACAGTGGAAGAAGTGATGAACATACCTACTCCGGAGCTCATGTGCCATGCCCTGCTAGGATGCCTTAACAAGCCACCTGCTCCAGAAGGCCACAGCCTGACGCTCCCAAGTGGAGTATGAATGCCCAAGGGCCACATGAAGCCACCTCCTCCACTACCTGCAAAGCTGTCTGGGAATTGAGCTACAGAACACACGCACTTTCTGGTCTAACCAACATCAAGTGAACGATTTTTTTTCCATTTCATATATCTATTTTTAATACAACTTAAATGCAACTTTCATATAAATTTGGGCTTCCACCAGTCCCTCTCCTCAATTTCCTTAGGAGGAACTGAGTAATTGAAACAAACAAAACAAGATTATAGCTATAAATGACTGCACTTTAAACGTGATTATCAATTTTGAGGGACAGAGATGTGAACGTTTTACAATACCAAACTTAAAAAAAAAATGTATTATAAAAACTGTAACTCATCCCCCAACATTTTAAAATGGTGGTATTATGTTTACACAAACAGATCAATACATTAAATTAAGCCAAGATCTTAAAGATTGGCAAAGTTCTATCATTCTATTTTAAAAAACAAAGATGTTACAAAAAAAAAAAGTTAGTTACTTCATGTTACATTTCACAACCATTATGTTAAATGTTTTCTTTTCTACAGAAACAGGGTCCTTTATATCACAACTGCAAGTATTTACTGCTAGATGTTTAAAGTTACACAGACTACTGTTCAACTGGAACCTGCTGATAGTAACATCTTGAAGTTTTCTGAGTTTCAACCTAAGGTGTGCCAGGTCCTCTCCTAGGACCACTTTTGCGGGGGGGGGGGGGGGGGGGGGGGGGGGAGGGAAAGGAAATCACAGATCAAGCTCTTAAGATTGTATCACTCTCTTCGTGGCTTTCTGTTTCTTGGTGATCTGTTCAAAATTTCATCCTCCTATTGATTAAAAAAAAAAAAAAGAAAGAAATTCAGTATAATTAGCACATTTAAAAAATAATAAAAGTTCATCTTATTTTCAAGGTCAGCCAGGCTGAGGATAATTTATTTAAGGAAAAAACGAGGAAAATGATTTGAAGAAAAATGCACCAAGAAGAATGGTGGTTTCAGAGGAGTGGAATTATGTCTAATTCAGTTTGGTCTTTATTGTTTTCTATAAACATACATTTTCTCAATCTAATCCATAAACATTTTCTTAAAAAAGGATCAGACACTGTGATTTCTTAATCCCCAACAATCTACTGGCCTACGGCCACACTATCCCCATTCTGAGGATAAGAAACCAAGGATTCATGAAGATGGAAGGCTATCCAAGTAGACTGACTCCAAGGCTGCTGCTCTTTGTACTCTATTACCAGTTGCTAAGATTATAAATTACCCTATGAAAATACTCCCTTTATTTAAATGTGTCAGCAACTTTTTTAACGTGAGGAAGTTTGGGGGAGACATGGTCTCTACCTTCAAGAACTGCATTCTAGTTAAGAAAGAACATATCCATTGAAAATATACTAAAGATACAGATAACATTGATCTTTAGTAATAGGAAGGCAGAGTTGTTGTAGCTGCAAGTACCTGAGGAAAGCTTTCCAGGAGAGACCAGATTCAAACACAGAAGTGCTGGGAAAGGGACATTAGTAGGCAATGGTACAGACAATGACTGTTCCTTTTCTCTCATACTCTATATGTCCAATCTACCACAAAACCAAGCCAGAACTCCAACTAGTTCTCATACCCGCTGTTCCTCTCCTGTCACCCTTTGTGGGACTGCTGTATCTTTCCTAGATGATTACAGGAACCTCCTAACTGGTCTCTCTGATATATAGGAAACACAGCAGACACAGTCATCATCCTGTGACACCTGTACCCAAAAGCCTGTGATAGCTGCGCACTTCACTAGGAGGGAAAGCCAAGTCCACACAACAGTCTACTCTGGAGCCTTCTCCACCCTTCTTTTCTCCACTCTGTCTCTCAGCCCACTAGCCATAATGGCCTTAAAAGACAACCACTTTAGGGCTCAAACTGGCTGTTCTCTCTGCCTGGAATGCTCTTCCCACTGATATCCCCATGGAAAAGTTCTCTATCTCTTTCAAGTCGTTGGTCCAATGTCATCTGTCCAATAAGGTTTTAACATGGTGATCCGCCCTACCTCTAGCATTTTTAATAGCTTTTCCTGCCTTAATTTTTCAGAGTTTATCACTTCCTAATATACTATGTTATTTACTTCCTTACAATGTTTACTGCTCATTGCCTGTTTCCCACAAGCAGAATTTAAGCTCCCTAAAGGCAGCATTGTCTGTCTCATTTACAGACAATTCCTAGCACAAAATGGGCACTCATAAATATCAGGTAAATGAATGAACAAATCTATGAACAGGGACAAGAAGTTTAGAACACAGTGATTTGTACAAGAAATACCCTTTAAGGTACACAGTTATTTGTACAAGAAATATTTTTTAGTGAGGAGAGGTAGATAGGTTTTTAATGACCTAACGTTGTCTTCCTAGCAAGCATTTTATTTTCTCCCTACAACCTTCTGCTTATTCCAGAAAATCATTTTCAGCTAAAAGGATACATTTGAGATTCAGATGTAGCTTAAAATTATCAAACAAAACACTGACCTATATCACATAGAATCCCACTTCGACAAAATTGGCTTTAACAGAAATTTTACTGCCATAAGCCACTGTAAACTACCCTATCAAAATATTTCCTTTACATAAATGTACCTTCAACTTGGAAAAAAAAAAGTGTGACCCCTTTCTTTTACCTCTGCTTTAGGTTTTCTGTCTTCCTCCTCTTGACTGACAGTGCCACCATCTTCTTCAGCATCACTTTTCTGTTTCTCTTCTAAGACAGAAGTTAAACAACTGAGCAAACCTTATCATTATTTTTGTTGACAATTAGCATTAGAACACATCTCTAGATCTACAATTTTTTTTGAGATGAAGTCTTGCTCTTGTTGCCCAGGTTGGAGTGCAATAGCATGATCTCAGCTCACTGCAACCTCTGCCTTCAGGTTCAAGCAGTTCTCCTACCATGGGAGCCACTGTGCCTGTCCAACAATTTTTTTTAAGAGATAGGATCTGGCTGGGAGTGGTGGCTCACAACTATAATCCCTACACTTTGGGAGGCCGAGGTGGTAAAATAGCTTTAAGCCGGGAGGCATAGGCTGCAGTAAACTGAGATCACACCACTGCACTCCAGCCTGGGCAACAGGGCCAGACTCCATTTCAAAAAAAAAAAAAAAAATCAGCTGGGCATGATGGTGTATGCCTGTGGTCCCAGCTACTTGAGGGCCTGAGGTAGGAGGATCATTTGAACCTATAAGGTCGAGGCTGCAGTAAACCATGATCATGCCATTGCACTCCAGCCTGAGTTACAGAGTGGGACCTTGTCTTTAAAAAAAAAAAAAAAAAAGCGAGACAGGGCCTCACTCTATCGCTCAGCTGGAGTACAGTGACACTATCCTAGCTGATTATAGCCCTGAACTCCTGGGCTCAAGCATTTTTCCTTCTTCAGCCTCCTAAACTGCTACAATTACAGGCCTGAGCCACCACACCTGGTTGTAAACAATCTTTAACTTGACTGTAAAGGTTTAACAACATTGTCGGGTCTTGGTGTGAAGCAGATTATCTGGACTCTTATTTCTTACCAAGTTTCTCTTCGCCCTCTTCTTCCTCATCTCCCTTGTCTTTTTCCTCTTCCTTCTCTTCTTCCTCTTCCTTCACATCTGGTTGAGGTGCATCGGTCTTCTTATACTCCATAGCACTGGTCTGTTTCTGAAATATTCCCCAAAGTACAATTTCGTTTACATGTTCATGTATCATGTTATCATATTCCTGAATGCCTACAGGCAAAGTTCTGTTCCAGACTGCATACAGGGTTAGATATACAGAAACGAGTAAGATGTTATTTCCTACCCTGAAAAGCCTGTGTGTGTGTGTGTGTGTGTGTGTCTGTGCGCGCGCACACACACATTTCAAGGCAGAACACAAAAAGGGCCAGGTAGGAGAGTACAGGTCAAAAAAGTCAAGGTAACTGAGGCACAGATACTCAGAATAGTGGCAGAGGATGAGGCTGGAAAAAGAACTTGGGATCCAGTTACAAAGTGCTATGAATGCCAGATGAAGCATAATCCTGATTTAGCAGAAGTAGAGGGCCAAAATAAAACTTTCTTTTTTTATGATAGCATGCAACAAAGGCTAAATAAGAAAAACTAACAGTAAGGCTATGGTACCCCAACATACTGTTTTGAGAGTGGGGAAGGTGAAGAAAGAATAGATAATGAGGGACCAAAGACAGAATTACAAAGAACAGAAATAGCTATCTATGCCAGCAGGAAAAGCTGATTATTGTCTGAGTGGTTAGTTTTATATCTAAGTCTATTATAGTTTTAGAAAGCTAATATCAAACATTATGGAGAGTAACATATTAAGATAACAGTAGCGACCAAGGGGCTACAAATCCTGCTCCCATCTGGACACAATAAATGGCTATTGAGGAACAGTAAGTAAGTTTTCTAAAGTCAGCACCATACATGGCTCAGTCATTACTGAGCCACTACAAAGAAAACCTCAGGCAACATATCTTAGTTATTTTTTATAATCACCAGAGTGATGTCTCTAAAAGTGATTCTAAAAACAAAACAAAACTAAAACTTCTTACCTTTCCAGAACAGCAGAAGAGGATAACGAGGAATACAGGCAGGGCTACAGTCAGAATATACACCACCCATAGCCACGGGCGCTCTTCAGCTGCCTCGATCATCTGCCCCACTACACCTGGCTGAAAAACAAGACAGGACTGATTGACAGTTCTGGCCTTCGACAGCAAACAAACACAAGCCGTGCTGTTTTTCTGCAGTTCAGTTATGGCAGGGCACCACGCAGGATCTTCTTTTTCAGAGTTCAACCCAAGATGTTCATACAATGTAAAAAAGAAATTAGAGAAAGTCTCCATCTTCTTGCTCTCCTTATAATCAAGATGATTTCACTCTCATAGGTGCAAAAGCTGGCTGCTTCACCACCTGCAAAAGGTTCCCTTAACCTCGGGATCCAGTGAATTTCTTATCTCAGTATCCCTGGCTCTCCAATTCTTAGGTTGGCCACATAACCAGTTGTTTGAAAATTCCATATGTAGTGTAAAGCAAGACTCAACATATGAAAGTGCATTATAATATAGCCTAAATGACAAATTTCAAAATATATACCCAAATAATTTTAGAAAACCTGCACATAACACAAACAGACTCCAAAGCCACTATAGACTCATGAAATCATGCCCCCAAACTCAATAATGTGTCTTTCTTAGGCATATGGTTATACTTTTTATGCCAATATTGCCAAATGAAGGAAAAGATAAACCTTAACACAGATTTTCACAAAAATATCAGCTCCCTACAATAACACATACAAAAACACAAGCAGCAAACACAAACCTCAGCAGCTCCATCAGCAGCTTTCTTCAGGCCCCATCCATCATTGGCCCAATCATCGACTACTCTTCGATCAGCACAAATGATAAAGTTGTCAAAAAAAATGTCAGAGGTCATGGACCACAGCTCCAAACCAATAGCACTGAAAGGAGTCATTCTGAAAGGTTCCAGATCTTCAAAGAAATCTGGATTTGGTATTTTCCTGGGTTTCCAGATTCCCTAGAAAAAAATGTTTTAGAAAATTATTTCACATAATGATCAGAAGTTTATGGTGAATCTACTGTAAATGGAATTTTGCATGAACAATGGAGAGAAATGCCAATTTCATGAAACTTGAAATAAGCAACAGGAAAAAAATAATAAACGCTACAGATTATTTTACACTCTGCCTCTAAGATTCCAGGACTCCAACTACTTCCAATTTCTACTATCACCCATGACCTTGGCCCAAACCAACCCCTCTCGTTCCTAGCCCATTCAACAGCCTCCACTCTTATCAACTGCTGATGAGAGCAGGAGGATAACTCAGTAGACACTTCTTCAGTGGTGATTTAGAATAAAATGTACATGATCACCAATCAGCTATTCACTTCCAGATAACCACCTAGAGAAATACTTACTACATACACCCAGACATGTACAAGAATTATTATTGTAGCAGTGACTCTGAAAGCCAAGTGACAATCCACCTAAATGACCACCAACAGAACTAAAGGGCAACTTCTCTCTCTCTTTTTTTTTTTGAGACGGAGTCACACTCTGTCACCCAGGCTGGTCTCCAACTCCTGACCTCAGATGATCCACACACCTTGGCCTCCCAAGTGCTGGGATTATAGGCATGAGCCACCACACCCAGCCTAACAGACAACTTTTTTTTTTTTTTTTTGGGACGGAGTTTCACTCTTGTTACTCAGGCTGGAGTGCAATGGCGGGATCTCGGCTCACTGCAACCTCCACCTCCTGAATTCAAGCAATTCTCCTGCCTCACACTCCCAAATAGCTGGGACTACAGGCACGCGCCACCATGCCCAGCTAACTTTTGTATTTTTAGTAGAGACAGGGTTTCAACGTGTTGACCAGGATGGTCTCAATCTCTTGACCTCGTGATCTACCCGCCTCAGCCTGCCAAAGTGCTGGGATTATAGGCATGAGCCACCACACCCGGCCAGGACAACTTTTTTAAAGTAAAATTTTTATTTTATCATATTGCTTGACTACACAATTAGAAATACATTAACGTAACATCTTTAAAGACTATGAGAAAAAAATTTAAAAATTACAACAGAAAAACATATTAGTATATGTATATAAATAGACAAAGTACAAATTAATGATTATAAATAATTTTGCCAGGCATGGTGGCTCCTGCCTGTAATCCTAGCACTTTGGGACGCCAAGGTGGGCAGATCATGAGGACAGGAGATTGGGACCATCATGGCTAACACAGTGAAACCCTGTCTCTACTAAAAATACAAAAAGTTAGCTGGGGTGGTGGCGTGTGCCTGTAGTCCCAGGTACTGGGGAGGCTGAGGCAAGAGAATCACTTCAACCTGAAAGGTGGAGGTTGCAGTGAGCCGAGACTCCACCACTGCACTCTAGCCTGGATAACAGAGGGAGACTGTCTCAAAAAAAAAAATTTTTTTTAAATGCCACTGTTTACAGAGATAATGATTTCACTAGGCTAGAAAGACAAAAGGAACAAAGGTCTAAGCGTGTACATTTCTGCATGAGATCCAAAGCTTCATAACCTTACTACTTGTATCCTCACCATTTCCTTTGGCCTTCAGTTTTTTTATAGTTGTAAACATCGAGGACAAGCAGTGAGCCGACTTGAAGTAGTCAAGATGCTGACTCATACCACAGTTCTCTACTCGTCACATCACAGATTGCTCAGACTGAGCTTTGGATCCTATGGCTGAAGCAACCCTGGCACCCAAGAGCAGGGTACCCAAATCAACAGTTTTCCATTTTCTTTTTAAAAAATATATAGTTACAAAGTAACTATGAAAGTTATTCTTGGCTGTGCATGGTAGCTCTTGCCTGTAATCCCAGTACTTTAGGAGTCCAAGGCAGATGGATCACCTGAAGTCATGAGTTCGACCAGCCTGGCCAACATGGTGACACCCCGGGTCTACTAGAAATAAAAAATTAGCTGGGTGAGGTGTTGTGCACCTGTACTCCTCGCTACTTGGGAGGCTGAGGCAGGAGAACCACTTAAACCCACTGTGCCAAGACTGCACCACTGCACTCTATCCAGCCTGGCCAATAGAGGGAGACTCCGTCTCAAAAAAAAAAAAAGGAAGAAAAGTTAAAGTTATTCTCTCCAATTTCTAGGTTTATCTTTGGAACACCTAACCCATTAAGCTCTCTTTCAATTTAGGAAGTTTACTTTCTGCTTTTAATTCAATAGCTTGAATATAAAGACCATCTTGGCAGCCTCACTCTAGATAAAACTTCTATCTGAATACAAACAGATTAATGAAAGTAACTCAACCATCAAGAAGCACAAACCTGGTAGCTGGGATTATCAATCATAGGAGGCTTCCATTTGCCTTTATAATTAGGGTTGTCAATCATAGGTCGCTGCCAGACACCACATCCAGGGGCTGACTCACATTTAGGGTTGGCAATCTGAGGAGCCTCCCATTCTCCATCCATGTCTTCATCCCTTTGGAGGTACAAACAAATTATAAACACATTCTGTGATGCAGGACTCTAAGCAGCTGGCTGGCCCGGGGCTTCCAAGATCCTGCTGAAATGTTTTCAATGTATCAGACCACCCTCTCCTGTGTTTCTGTATTTCCAGTAACAACGGTTTTCAGAAAAAATGCATTTTTTAAAAAAGAAGAGTATATAACTAAAATTGTCAAATTCTACCCTGAAATTTGGGAAATTAGCTATATTTAAGTATTAACTTTCACTTCAATAAAAACAGGTAACTTATGCTGGGTGCAGTGGCTCACGCATGTAATCCCAGCACTTTGGGAGGCCAAGGCAGGAGATCACTTGAGGTCAGCACTTTAAGACCACCCTGGCCAACATGGTGAAAGCCTATCTCTACTAAAAATAGAAAAAATATAAAAATTTGCTGGGTGTGGTGGCATGCACCCGTAACCCCAGCTACTCACAAGGGTGACGCAGGAAGAATCGCTTGAACCCAGGAGCTGAAAGTTGCAGTGAGCCAAGGCTGTGCCACTGAACTCCAGCCTGGGAGGCAGAGCAAGACTCCATCTTCAAAACCAGGTAATTAAAAAAGTTAACTGAAGTTCTTACCAATCCTCAGGTTTCTCTGCATCTGGATCAGGTACATACTCGGGCTCATCGTCTAACCAGCCTTCGGGTTTTGTGGCCTCGTCATCTGGAATCTTAGCAGGGGCATCTTCATCCCTTAAACACAAAAGAAAAAGCCAGTTATGACAACACTGATCACAGTGTAGTCTTGCTTTGTGGATCGGAAACAGAGTATTCTAAAAATATTTTGGTCTTAATCTCAAAATTTAAAATAATTCCTCTTAGAAAATACTTGTGAATCATATATCTGCTAAGGGCTTAGTAAAAGAACTCATTACAACTCAATATAAAGACAACCCAATTTAAAAATAGGCAAATGATTTTAATAGACATTTCTCCAAAGAATATATACAAATATACAATACAAATACATAATAAGCACATGAAAAGATTCTTAACATTATTAGCCATCAGGGGAATACAAATCAAAACCATGATACCGCTTAGTACCAAGGTGGCTATAATAAAAAAGATTCATAAAAACAAACATTGGAAAGAATATAGAGAAACTGAAATCCTCATACACTGCTGGTGGAAAAGTAAAATGGTACTGCTGATCTGCGGCAGTTTCTCAAAAAGTTAAACAGTTACCACATGACCCAGCAATTTGACTTTTAGGTATATATACCCAAGAGAAATGAAAATATATGTCTTTAGCTAGGCAGAGTGGCTCATGCCTGTAATCTCAGCACTTTGAGAGGCTGAGGCAGGAGGATCACTTGAGGTCATGAGTTCAAGACCAGCCTGGACAACAAGGTGAAACCCAGTCTCTAGTTAAAAAAAAAAAACACAAGGCTGAGCACAGTGGCTCATGCCTACAATCCCAGCACTTTGGGAGGCTGAGGCAGGCGGATCACCTGAGGTCAGGAGTTCAAGACCAGCCTGACCAATACGATGAAATCCTGTCTCTACTAAAAAATACAAAAATTTGCTGGGCGTGGTGGCATGCACCTATAATTCCAGCTACTCAGGAGGCTAAGACAGGAGAACAGCTTGAACCCAGGAGGCAAAGGCTGTAGTGAGCTGAGATCGCACCACTGCACTACAGCCTGGGCAACAAGAGTGAAACTCCTATCACCAAACCAAACCAAACCAAACCAAACAAAACAAAACCACAGCCAGGCACGGTGGCTCACGCCTGTAATCCTAGCACTGTGGGCGGCTGAGGTGAGCGGATCACTTGACCTCAGAAGTTCCAGACCAGCCTGGCCAACATGGTGAAATCCCATCTCTACTAAAAATACAAAAATTAGCCAGGTGCAGTGGTGTGCACTTGTAGTCCCAGCTACTTGGGAGGCTGAGGCATGAGAATCATTTGAACCCAGGAGGCAGAGGTTGCAGTGAGCCAAGATCATGCCACTGCACTCCAGCCTTGAAGACAAAATAAGACTCCATCTCAACAAACAAACAAAATACAAAAATTAGCTGGGCGTGGTGGTGCACGCCTGCAGTCCCAGCTACTTGGGAGGCTAAGGCGGGAGAGGATCACTTGACCCTAGGAGGCGGAAGTTGCAATAAGCCATGACCGTACCACTGCACTCCTGCCTAGGAAACACAGAGAGACCATGTCTTAAAAAAAAAAGAAAAAACATAGCACCATCATTCATAATCACAGACAAAAAGGAGGAAACAACCTAAATGCCCACCAAGGGATGGATAAATAAAATGTGGCATTATCAACACAGTAGAGTATTATTCAATCATAAAAAGGAATGTAGTACTGATAGATGCTTCATCACAGATAAATCTGGAAAACACTATGTTAAGTGAAAGAAACTGGACAGAGAAAACCACACATTGTATGATTCCATTTATATGAAATGTACAAAGTGGACAAATGCAGAGAGGCAGAAAGCAGGTTAGTGGATGCTGGGAGTTGAGCAGGGAGGAAACAGGGAGTGACTGCTTAATGGGTACAGGGGCCTTCTTAGGTGATAAAGCTAGTTAAGGAATATAATACTGAACAAAGCTAAGTCCAAACCTAATAGACACCAAATATACAAATAAACTTGGCATTTATACTAGTGCAGCATATAAATTCAGTTACATGTATCTCACCTTTCAGGGAGGAAAAAGATCATCTAGGCTAAGCATAGGAGGATACTTTTACAAAGAGTAAGAATTTATTCAAAGATAGCCATATATGAGAATCCAGCCCCAGCGATCTTAATTTCTCCTACTCTTCAATGTGCTCCCTATATAAAAGGCCATCTAATTTCTCCCCTGCATGTCAAGCTCATTGCTGTTCCTCTACTTCTGCAGGTGACATTCTTCAATCAAAAACACCCCTTCCCATATTCACCAACTCCTTAACTCTAACCTCACTTCCAAGTCTCAATCTGATTTGCTCTGCTCCAAGAAAACATGCCTGGGTTAGGGACACCTGGTGCTCTGGTCCCCTGTGGCAACTTCTCATGAACCCTTACCATACCACATGCCAACAACATGCCTCAGAACTGGACTGCAAGCTCTGTGTAGGCAGATGGTGGTGTCCTTGTGGCTTTGTATTCTACCACCAAACCCAGAACAGAGAACTAAGTGTTGTGTAAATAGGAAAAAGATTATTTTTCAAATTAAAATTTAATACTTCAGGACTTTGGCTTTAAATGTGAATTCACAGAAGCACTGGAGTAGTCAAGCCAAGGAATGTGAGATTCTGCCACAAACCAACAGTGTCTTCATGGACAAACTCTATCAACTGTGGCATTTTACGGCTTATAAAATGGTGAGTCAAAACAGACTATGACACTATATATAGTACTATGGCCCCTTCTCAGCTATAGTACTCTCTATTTCCTCTACAGGTTAGATTGCATCACGGATTACTGAAATTATCAGAGCTTACTCAACCACCATTTGTTTGTTCAAGCCACATGGAATATATGAAATGCTCCCTTATACTTGAAGACAGCTCCCCAAGACTCACCAGTCATCTGGCTTGACAGCTTCTGGATCTGGGATTTTTGGTCTTTCATCCCAATCCTCAGGCTTCCGGTCTTCTGGGTCCTCAATTTCACGTGAAGGATTAACAGGAGGAGTCATGTCATTTAGCAGATTTCCACTGTTCACAACAGATTGGTCCACTAATATTTCAAAACTGTTATCTGGATTTAAGACTGAAAAAAAAAAAATAAACACAATTAAAAATAGTTAATTTCCCAAGCTCTCTTTACCATAAGACAAAAGATCATGACCTCTAACTTGAAGAAACAGCACAGAAGTATCATGACCTGAGGCTTTGGGGTAAGAACAATGCCTGGCTCTGGGGTCTTGGGTAACTTAATGCCCTGTTCCTTATGCATAAAACATAAATGGTTAGTTTCTCAGGTTTCTAAGAATTACAGCAAATGACAGTTAAAATTTTGAACACCAAAGACTTTATAGACATACACACACACACACAAATCATGAAACCTACATAAAGTAACATGATTATTGGTTTTACACAATTCATTATACACGAGTCAGCAGACAAATAACTTATAACAACTTCCCAGTACAAAAGGTCCATTTCTTCATTTTTAATAGAGCTGATATTATTACTGAAATAACACAAACCTCTAATTTATTAAGATGTATCTCGGCCAGGCGCGGTAGCTCACGCCTATAATCCCAGCACTTTGGGAGGCCAAGGCAGGAGGATCACAAGGTCAACAGATTGAGACCACTCTGGTCAACTTGGTGAAACCCCGTCTCTACTAAAAATACAAAAAATTAGGTGGGTATGGTGGCACCCACCTGTCCCAGCTACTCGGGGGGCTGAGGCAGGAGAATTGCTTGAACCCAGGAGGTGGAGGTTGCAGTGAGCCGAGATTGGGCCACTGCACTCCAGCCTGCAACACAGCGAGACTGTCTGAAAAAAGAAAAGAAAAAAAAAAAATTGCATGTCGACTCATGGTTCTACTTTTTCATTTTTAGACGGGAGTCTCACTCTGCCACCAGGCTGGAGTGCAGGGGCGCAATCTCAGCTTACTGCAATCTCTGGCTCCCGGGTTCAAGCAATTCCCCTGCCTCAGCCTCCCGAGTAGCTGGGCCTACAGGTGCTTGCCACCATGTCCAGTTAATTTTTTGTATTTTAGTAGAGATGGGGTTTCACCATGTTGGCCAGGATGGTCTCGATCTCCTGACCTCATGATCTACCCGCCTCGGCCTCCCAAAGTGCTGGGATTACAGGTGTGAGCCACTGCACCTGGCCTCATGGTTCTATTTTTAACCCCCATGCAAAATGAAAAAACAATTTTAAATCCATAAACGCATTTTTTTTTTTTTCTTTGAGACGGAGTTTCGCTCTTGTTACCCAGGTTGGAGAGCAATAGCGCGATCTCGGCTCACCGCAACCTCCGCCTCCTGGTTTCAGGCAATTCTCCTGCCTCAGCCTCCTGGGTAGCTGGGATTACAGGCACGTGCCACCATGCCCAGCTAATTTTTCGTATCTTTAGTAGAGACGGGGTTTCACCATTTTGACCAGGATGGTCTCGATCTCTTGACCTCGTGATCCACCCGCCTCAGCCTCCCAAAGTGCTGGGATTACAGACTTTAGCCACCGCGCCCGGCCCATAAAAGCATTTTTTAAAATTTTATTTTATTTTAGACAGAGTCTCGCTCTGTCACTCAGGCTGGAGTGTGGTGGTGTCATCTGGGCTAACTGCAACTCCCACCTCCCAGGTTCAAGCGTTTCTCCTGCCTCAGCCTCCAGAGTAGCTAGGACTACAGGCAGCCCCATGCCACCATGCCCAGCTAATTTTTTGTATTTTAAGTAGAGACAGGGTTTTGCCATGTTGCCCAGGCTTATCTCCAACTCCTGAGCTCAGGCAATCCACCCACCTCAGCCACCCAAAGTGCTAGGATTACAGGCGTGAGCCACCGCACCCAGCCCCATAGGCCCCATAAAAGCATCTTAAGTATGATGTATACCAAAGCCTGGATTCCACACCTAAATATCTAATATGCGACTGATCAGGTTATAGCACATCCAGACAAGGAATCCTATGCTGCTGTGTCAGTGATAATGAAAATGAATGCTTTTTTGAGGAAGAAATTCACGCCCTGTGTTGTTAACAAAGTTCGGGCCAGGTGTGGCGGCTCATGCCTGTAATCTCAGCACTCTGGGAGGGAGATCATTTGAGGTCAGGAGTTTGAGATCAGCCTGACCTACATGGTGAAACCCCAACTCTACTAAGCATACAAAAAAATTAGCCGGGAATGGTGGCACATTCCTGTAGTCCCAGCTACTCGGGAGGCTGACGCTGAAGAATCATTTGAATTGGGGAGACAGAGGCTGCAGTGAGGTGAGATCATGCCATTGCACTCCAGCCTGGGCAACAGAGCGAGAATCTATAGCACAAAAAAAGAAAAATTATTATATTCTAGGCCAGGTGCAGTGGCTCACATCTGTAATCCCAGCACTTTCAGGGGCTGAGGTGGGCAGATCACTTAAAGTCAGCAGTTTGAGAGCCGACTGGCCAACAGGGTGAAGCTGTCTCTGCTAAAAATACAAAAATTGGTCTCTGTGGTGCAATGGGTTAGTGTGTTTGGCTGTTAACTGAAACCGAAAAACACAAAAATTAGCTGGGCATGGTGGCATGAGCCTGTAATCCCAGCTACTCCAGAGGCTGAGGCATGAGAATCACTTGAACCCGGGAGGCAGAGGTTGCAGTGAGCCAAGATCAGGCCACTGCACTCCAGCCTGGGTAAGCAAGACTCCACCTAAAAAAAAATTAAAAAGGCTATTATATTCTTCATAAAGAGGCATGTTTATTTATGATCTCAAGCTGGCAGGAAAAGCTTCAATAAACAAACAGAAAAACGTATATCCAAAGGACTCAACTTAGTTGTCAAGTGTCCAGGTATTGGACAATTATACACAAACTTGGAAGTTCAATTACAAGATACTTCTGAAAAACTGTCTATTTTTATTGGATTTATGTATAACTGTATATATAATTTATTATTCAACATTTATCAACAAAAAAAGGGGGGAAGAAATTAGGTAGGTCAGCAAAGTTCTTTATAGGATATAAAAAAACCTACTACTATTTTCATTTTTGAGATGAAGTCTTGCTCTGTCAATCCAAGCTGGAATGCAGTGGCAGATCTCAGCGCTGTCTCCCAAATTCAAGAAATTCTCTGCCTCAGCCTACGGGCTGGGCTTTACAAATAGCTGGGATTACAGGTGCCCACCACCATGCCAAGCTAATTTTTTTGTATTTTTAGTAGAGATGGGGTTTCACCATCTTGGCCAGGCTGGTCTTAAACTCCTGACCTCGTGATCCACCCACCTCAACCTCCCAAAGTTCTGGGATTACAGGAGTGAGCCACTTAGCCCAGCCATCCTTTTTTTTTCTTTTTTTTTTAAGATAGAGTCTCACTCTGTTGCCCAGGCTGGAGTGCAATGGCGAGGTCTTGGCTCACTGCAAACTCCACCCTCCCGGGTTCAAGTTATTCTCCTGGTCAGCCTCCTGAGTAACTGGGATTACAGGCACCCACCACCACGTCTGGCTAATTTTTTTATTTTTTAGTAGAGATGAGGGTTCATCATCTTGGCCAGGCTAGTCTTGAACTCCTGACCTCAAGTGATCTGCTCACCTCAGCCTCCTAACATGCTGGGATTATAAGTGTGAGCCACGCCACCTGGCTAAAAATACCTATTCTTAAAAATATCTCAAACCTCAGTTCCTGTGGAAAAGAAGTTTTTTTTTTTTTTCCCAGACAGCATCTCACTCGGTCACCTAGGCTATGGTGCAGTGGCAAGATCATGGCTCAGTGCAGCCTCAACTTCCTGGGCTCAAGTAATCCTCCTACCTCAGCCTCCTGAGTAGCTGAAACTACAGGCACACGCCGCCATACTCAGTTAATTTCTTAATATTTTGTAGAGACTAGAGACTCAGCCTACATCCGACTCAGCATTCTAAAGTGCTAGGATTATAGGTGTGGGCCGCCACACCTGGCCAAGGAGCTTCTTTTAATGCTGACAAATTAAACTCATTTCCCAACTAAGATATTAAGTGAAGAGATTCTTTTTTTGGTGGAGGTGGACAGAGTCTTGCTCTGCTGCCCAGGTCGGAGTGCAGTGAAACGACCTCAACTCTCTGCAACCTCTGCCTCCTGGGTTCATGTAATTCTGCTGCCTCAGCCTTCCAAGTAGCTGGGATTATAAGCATGCACCACCACACCCGGCTCATTTTTCTATTTTTAGTAGAGACGGGGTTTTACCATGTTAGCCAGGGTGGTCTCAATCTCCTGACTGCAAGTGATCCACCTGCCTTGGCCTCCCAAAGTGTTAGGATTACAGGTGTGAGCTACCACACCTGGCCGAGATTCTTATCTGCAGGCTGGTGTACTCTCTAAATATACAATCTTTTTTTTTTGGAAACGGAGTCTCACTGTCACCCAGGATGGAGTACAGTAGCACAACAATCTTGGCTCCCTCCCGGGTTCAAACAATTCTCCTGCCTCAGCCTCCCAAGTAGCTGGGGTTACACCATTTTGACCAAACTGGTCTCGAACTCCTGACCTCAGGTGATCCACCCACCTCGGCATCCCAAAGTGCTGGGATTACAGGTGTGAGACACCACACCCAGCCAGACATACAATGTTTAAGTTAAATGGATGATATAAGTGTAATGCCATAAGCCCCCAAACGAATGGTTTTTCTTACTTAGTGTGTAAAGATGTGTTTTCTTATCAGTAAAATAGGTCTTCAGATCTGCATCTGGCCTCTTAGCATGCTTTTCTTCATAAATACCCGTTTTGGGGTTCTTGTGTCGGAAGATGAAGTGCAGTTTATAGTCCTCTCCACATTTATCTGGACCAAACATAATCGTATAAGGGGTCTTGTCGTGGAACTGATCCTTCAGAAGCAAAAAAGGTTTATTTGAAACCACTCTAGTCAAAGTATTCAAAAGCAACATTTCAAAAGTGTCTAATAATTCTTATAAAATTCCAAATATATTGGTGACAGTTAAAGAAAAAGCTAATTATAAGGCTTAGTGAAAAGGAATAATCAGTAATCATCAGTAAATTTAAAATAACATATTTAAGTACTTAAAAAAAGTAATACACATATTTAGATAGTTATTGCTTCTCTCATAAAACAAAAAAATAAGTTTGCTAAAACCAAAACTTACACAGAAGCAAAATCAGAAATTCAGATAAAAACAGCTGGTAACAACTTAGAGAGTCACACTTCAAATAGAAAGCACATTAATGTCAAAGTCAATATTCCCAACTTATCAAAAGAGTTAAAAAGCAGGGGAGGAAGCCTTTATTTTTCACAAGTATTACAAAATTACATAATTCTTACAAGGTAATAGTGGGTGTCCAGCCACATTCCAGAAATGGGGATTACATACCAGGTTGAGGTCTGATGTTTTAGAAAGCAGTTTCACATAGGCACCGCCACATTCTATTCCATTTTGGAAATTAACCTCATACCTAATATCAGAGAGAAAAGCTGAAAATTGTATGGCATTTTGAAAGATCTAAACTCTCTTAACGTACTTGTTCCCTCATCTTCGTCATGTTTTATGATAGGTCAAATGTTTACCCTTACAAAGGATTCCATCTTCTATTGCTTTTAAATAGCTACCAAATTCCACAAAAATAAATAAACTGAACATTAATGCACATTTCCAGTAAATATGTTCTGCACAATCTGCAATTCATTTAGTCAGGAAAATGAGTAATCAGTTTCTTTCAAAATAATTTTTTGGGCAGGAAAAAATATTAATTACAAGATGTTTAAATTCACCCAAAAATCCCTAACACAACCTATATAATCTCATTTTTTATCTGATCACTATTTGCAAAATAATTTTTAACACAGAGTAAAAGTTGTATAATGTCTTCTAACATTACCCTTTCTAGAAAGCTTTTATCCAACAAGTATTTCACTTACTGAACAATGAGAGGCTTGGTGTCAAATAGGAAGGGTTTGTTCAGTTTAGCAGAGATGGCATGATGCTTGGCCCGAGACATCAATACAAGTCCTTTATCACCTGGAAGCTTTGATTCCTTCATTTCATCTACCTCCCACTTTCCTACAAGACAATACAAAAAAGTTCCACTCCTTAACTCTGCCTCTGAGAACCCTTTAAATAGCAAAAACAAACAAACAAACAAACAAACAAACCCACCCGCCCTCCCGCAAAAAAAAACCCCACTCTGAGTTGTATAAATCTATTATACTGGGCCAGGCGTGGTGGCTGATACCTGTAATCCCAGCACTTACGGAGGCTGAGGCAGGTGGATTACCCAAGGTCAGGAGTTTGAGACCAGCCTGTCAACACAGTGAAACCCCATCTCTACTAAAAACACAAAAATTAAGGGCCAGGTGCGGTGGCTCATGCCTGTAATTCCAGTACTTTGGGAAGCCAAGGCGGGTGGATCACGAGGTCAAGAGATCAAGACCATCTTGGTCAACATGGTGAAACCCCGTCTCTACTAAAAATACAAAAAATTAGCTGGGCATGGTGGCGTGTACCTGTAATCCCAGCTACTTGGGAGGCTGAGGCAGGAGAATTGCCTGAACCCAGGAGGTGGAGGTTGCAGTGAGCTGAGTTCGCGCCATTGCATTCCAGCCTGGGTAACAAGAGCAAAACTCCGTCTTAAAAAAAAAAAAAAATTAGCCAGGTGTAGTGATGGGCACCTGTAACCCCAGCTTCTTGGTAGGCTGAGGCAGAAGAATTGCTTGAACCCAAGAAACGGAGGTTGCAATGAGCCAATATTTTGCCAGCAGCCTGGGCAGCAGAGACTAGACTCCATCCCAGAAAAAATAAATACATAAAAAATTAAAAAACACACTTTGACAAATATTATTAGGATATGTTTTTTTGAAACTGTAGTATATTATACTACTGTATAGAAATGACCTATTTCCAACATTCAGCAGCACAGGTGATTAAACAGATCTAATCTTATTAAATATAAGGCCACGCATGAACCTCTAAACCTTAAATAAAAGTTAAAAATAAAATAAAAAGAATGATTAGGCAACACACAAAGATGGCAAAACTTCCATGGAAAAATCTTAAAGCTTATTATTTCCTTTTAAACTAGTCTTAGGAAATGCCATGGAGACAACATGTTAAACCTCTATCTGCTATTATATCTAAACCAAATGGAATTCTCACCATCATATTTGGCAATTTCATCATCAGTATCATCTTTCTTGGCTTTGGATAAAATCCACCTGTAATTACCACAAATCCCAAAATCAGTCTTAAAATGACAGTTGATTTATGAGGGAAAACTATGTAAAATACTCATAAAGTAGGACCTACTCTGCTCTTAGCCTATTGTAGCCACTCTAATTTCAATTTTTAAATCTGTCACATAACTAATGATAATACATTATCTTAAACTCACAAACCTATAAGAAAAAATACCAAACCTATGAGATAATTCCACCAATGTTTTAAGATCAAGAGAAAATTTTTTTTCTCCATCAAAGAACAAAATATAGGGTAGAGTGGGGGAGGGAAAGGAATGGATATAAAAACCACAAATACCAAAAGACTATTTTCCTACAAGGATATTAACACTGAAGACATTAAAGTCAGATATTTCAGGCTGGGCACAGTAGCCCACCCCTATAATCCCAACATTTTGGGAGGCCGAGGCAGGTGGATCACCTGAGGTCAGGAGCTCAAGACCAGCCTGGCCAACATGGCAAAACCCTGTCTCTACTAAAAAAAACCCACAAAGATTAGCTGCGCGTGATGGCACATGCCTGCAATCCCAGCTACTTGGGAGGCCAAGACAGGAGAATTGCTTGAACCCAGGAGGCGAAGGTTGCAGTGAGCTGATGTTGTGCCATTGCACTCCAGCCTGGGCAAAAGAGCGAAATTCCATCTCAAAAAATAAATAAATAAATAAAATAAATTTAGACATTTCACCATAAGATACTATCCAAAAAGGAATCCACTATCACATCTTATTTACATAATGTTTGAATCTAAGATACATTTCTCTGAAAAACACTTACCCTGACAGAGTTCCTCTGTCAAAAGAATCAGCAAAATATACTTCCCCTGTTGGAACTGGAGCTTTGTAGGTGACCTGTGTTAAATATATAAATATAAAAATTTAAATTTTCAGCAACATGCCTTTTTACCTAGAATTTATACTTCTGGTTTGCTTTCAACGATCACAAAAATTTCATAGCTGGCTTTCAAATTCAATCCATATACTTGGCCTCTGGCAAAATATAACAAAAGCTGCCAGAGAGATCAATAAGTATTTTAGCAAATTTTGCTTTCCCTTTGAAAAGGATCCAAATTTATCTCTTCACGATGTTCCTTTTAAGAGATGGCATCTCCCTGTGTTGTCCGGGCTGGACTCACACTCCTGGCCTAAGTCTCCTGAATAGTTGAGACTACATGTCTCTGCGCCTGGCTATGTTCATAATTTTATCATCTCAAGAGGTAAAAGGAATAGATTCAAAGACCATTTCAAACCTTGGGAGATGGAGGAGGAGCAGTGGTATCTGGTTTTGAATCTTCTACCTCTTCAATGACATCATCAAGGTCATCCTCAATATCAATCACATCATCATCATGTCCATCATGAGCCTCAACAACAGCAGTTCCAAGTACCAGTAACATACACAGCAACCACTTCCCCTCCATGATCTACACATAAAAAGAGCAAAATCAGTTAAATGTATTGCCTCCTATCAAACTTCATAAAGACCACTAACCTCTCTCTCATTTAAAATTAAAGCTTTCAAATTGCAGAGATAAAAAGAACTTATTATTTCATTTTATAGATAAGGAAAGGTAGACTAGAGAGATTAAAGGGTTTCCCTAAAATCAGTAAAAAGATTCAATATCAAGAAAATTTCAAAATAAAACTCAAACATACACAACTGTCCACATAGAGAAAATATTGTACTGGTTACCCAGATGTAGGGCATTCAAATACAATTTCCAACAAACTTTTGCATTTGTAAAGTGCTTTACAAGGGACAAAAGCCCTTTCATACACTAATTTACAATAGGTGCCTGTTAAAACACTACAATGAAAGATAACAGGAGATAACTCCTCTCACATTAAAGGTTTAATATGGATACTATTGCTCAAATAACATCAATAGAAATGTTTTCAAATTACAGTTTTAGAACTCAACAAGAATATTAAACCAAGAACAAGCTGCTTTTTAAAATGTTTATTTATTATTATTCTCTAACCAAGTAAGTGCCCTGTGTATTATATTAGACATGTCTTCAGTGGTAATGGGCTCTCTTTGAAAGGACCACAGATTTAAAGAAATAAATAGTTGGTAGTAGGTATATTTTCATTTTTGGGCCGGAAAAGGTATAGCTAAAAGATGGGGGAGAAAACAAGGAGAAGATATACAACTAGAAATGTGTGTGCACACACATACAAGATGTCCTTTTTTCCTCATGCTCTCTGCCCGCACTGTCACCCAATCAATCCTAGTCTTTCATCCTTCTCCATTACCGACATCAGGATACTTAATGTTACCTTATATTACTACGGGCTCTAGTTTCTTTCTCCTCTTTCAAGCTATCCTACATGTACCAAGATAGACTCATCACCCAAAAACTATCATTGAGTCCATGTTTGCAAAAATCTCTAAGTCTTTTGGCTAGCAATCATTGCCCTCTACCTCTATAGCTGCTCTGCATGCTATTCCCCAAAGAATCTTCAACTTCCGTTAGTCAAGACCTTATTTCCCAGCCTGGGCAATGCATCCTGACCCTGTCTCTACAAATAATAATAATAATAATAATAATAAAAAACCCTGTCTCCACAAAAAATCAACAAAAGAAAATTTTAGCCAGGCATGGTGGCACACACCTGTGGTCTCAGCTACTCAGGAGGCTGAGGTGGGAGGATTGCTTGAGCCTGAGTGGTTAAAGCTAAAGTGAGCTGTTGGGAAGGGTGTGGTGGCTCATGCCTGTAATCCTAGCACTTTGGGAAGCTGAGGCTGGTAATGTGCCTGAGCTCCAGAGTTCGAGATCAGCCACGTCAACATGGTGAAACTCCATGTCTACTAAAATACAATAAATTAGCCAAGCATGTCTGTAGCCCCAGCTACTCAGGAGGCTGAGGGAGAATTGCTTGAACCTGGGAGGTGGAGGTTGCAGTAGGCCAAGATGGTGCCACTGCACTCCAGCCTGGGTCACAGAGAAAGACTCCCACTGAAATAAATAAATAAATACACCAGGCATGGTAGTTCATGCCAGTAATCCCAGCACTTTGGGAGGTCCAGGCAGGCAGATCCCCTGAGGTCAGAAATTCGAGACCAGACTGGCCAACATGGCAAAACCCTGTTTTCTACTAAAAATACCAAATTTAGCTGGGCAGGACAGGCGTGGTGGCTCATGCCTGTAATCCCAGCACTTAGGGAGGCCGAGGTGGGTGGATCACCTGAGGTCGAGAGTTTGAGACCAGTCTGACCAACACGGAGACCAAAATTAGCCAGGCTAGTGGCGCTTGCCTGTAATCCCAGCTACCTGGGAGGCTGAGGCAGGAAAATTGCTTGAATCTGGGAGGTGGAGGTTGCAGTGAGCTGAGATCATGCCGTTGCACTCCAGCCTGGGCAACAAGAGTAAAACGCCATCTCAGAAAAAAAAAAAAAATCAGCTGGGCATAGTCGTGTGTGCCTGTAATCCCAGCTACTTGGGAGGCTGAGGCAGGAGAATGGCTTGAACCTGGGCGGTAGAGGTTGTCATGAGCCGAGATCACATACTGCATTGCAGCCTGGGTAACCTTCTCAAAAATAAAAAATAAAGTGAGCTGTGATGGCTCCACTGCATTCCAGCCTGGGAAACAGTACAAGACTGTCTCAAACAAACAAAGAATAGTTTCAGAGACATTTGCAGACCTGTGTTCATAGCAGTACTACTCACAACAGTCAAGAGGTAGAAGCAACCCAAATGTCCATCAATGGATGAATGATTAAACCAAATGTGGTATAGGTATACAGTGGAATACTATTCAACCTCAAAAAGGAAGGCAATCTCATCACCTGCTATAACATGGATGAACTTTGAAAACAATATGCTAAGTAGAATAACCAATTCACAAACTAATAAATACTTTATTATTTCACTTTCTTTAGATATGAGATATCTAAATAGTGAAATTCACAGATACAGAAATAGAATGGTGGTTACCAGGGGCTAGTAGGAGGGGGCAAAGGAGAGTTGTTTAAGGGGATATTTTCAATCCTGCAAGATGAAAGAAATCCAGATGTTTCACAACAATGTATAAATATGCTTAACACTACTGAAGTACAGGTTTAAAAACTGTTAAGAGGAGCATGCCTGTGGTCCCAGCTACTCAGATACCACAAATTTTTAAAGAGGGGAGAAGAGGAGGGGAAGGGGGAAAGTGGAAAGGGCCACTGCACTCTAGCCTCGATGACAGAGCAAGACCCTGTCTCTAAAAAAACTAAATAAGGCTGGGTGCAGTGGCTCACGCCTGTAATCCCCTCACTTTGGGGAGGCTGAGGTGGGCAGATCATGAGATCCGGAGATCAAGACCATCCTGGCTAACATGGTGAAACCCTGCCTCTAGTACAACACTAAAAATCAGGCTGGCATGGTGGTACATGCCTGTAGTCCCAGCTACTTGGGAGGCTGAGGAAGGGGAATCACTTGAACCCAGGAGGCAGAGATTGCAGTGAGCCGAGATCACACCACTGCACTCCAGCCTAATGATAGAGCCAGACTCCAACTCAAAAAAAATTAATAGGGCCGGGCGCAGTGGCTCTCGCCTATAATCCCCAGCACTTTGGGAGGCCAAGGTGGGCGGATCACGAGGTCAAGAGATCGAGACCATCCTGGTCAACAAGGTGAAACCCTGTCTCTACTAAAAATACAAAAATTGGCTGGTCATGGTGGCCCCCGCCTGTAGTCCCAGCTACTCGGGAGGCTGAGGCAGAAGAATTGCTTGAACCCAGGAGGCAGAGGTTGCGGTGAGCCGGGATCGCACCATTGCACTCCAGCCTGGGTAACAACAGCGAAACTCTGTCTCAAAAAAAAAAAAATAATAATTAATAAATAAAAATTTTTGCTCTCTTATTTACAATGGAAACGTGTATTTTTCAGGCAAAGTTCACTTCCCCAACCCCTGCAAAAACGAAAAAGAAATGGAATTAAGGTGAATTAGGGGGCTCCTTCATAAATACAGATGGTGCACTGATTCACAACCATGGCTGCCATTTCAGCCAATTAAGTTTTAGAAAAAAGGTAAATCTTCTAAGATGATGCAATAGAATAAAAAAAAAAAAGTAAGCCGAGCGCAGTAGCTCATGGCTATAATCCTAATGCTTTGGGAGACCAAGGCAGGAAGATCCTTTGAGCCCAAGAGTTCGAGACCAGCCTGGGCAATATGGTCAGACCCTGTATCTACAAAAAAAAAAAATTAAAAATTAGCCAAGTGTGGTGGCACATGCCTGTACTTCCAGCAACTTGGGAGGCTGAGGTGGGAGAATCACTTGAGCCCAGGAGACGGAGGCTAGAGGGCCGTGATGTCATTGCACTTCAGCCTGGGTGACCAGACCAAGACCCTGTCTCTTAAAAAAAAAATGTGGGGGGATGGGGCTGGGCACAGTGGCTCATGCCTATAATCCCAGCACTTTGGGAGGCTGAGGCTGGCAGATCACAAGGTCAGGAGATGAGATCATCCTGGCTAACACAGTGAAACCCTGTTTCTACTAAAAATACAAAACATTAGCCAGACATGGTGGCACACACCTGTAGTCCCAGCTACTCAGGAGGCTGAGGCAGGTTTGAACCCAGGAGGCAGAGACTGCAGTGAGCCAAGATTGTGCCACTGCACTCCAGCCTGGGTGACAGAGCAAGACCCTGTCTCCCCAAAACAAAAAAAAGACAACTTCACACATAGAAAGTACTTGCAAAACAACACCTGATAAGCGACTTGTTTAAAAGTACATAAAGAACTCAAACTCAACAACAAGAAAACAGTTAAAAACCGGGCAAAAGATCTGAACAGAAACCCCACCAAAAAAAATATGCCATGGACCAGGCACAGTGGCTCACACCTGTAATCCTAGCATTTTGGAAAGCTGAGGCAGGAGGATCGCTTGAGCTCAGGAGTTCGAGACCAGCCTGGGCAACATTGCGAAACCCCTTCTTGACCAAAAATACAAAAAATTAGCTAAGCACGGAGGCGCAGGCCTGTGGTCCCAGTACTCAGGAGGCTGAGGTGGTAAGATTACCCGTGCCTGGGAGGAGGAGGTTGCAGTGAGCCAAGATTGTGCCACTGCACCCCAGCCTGGGTGACAGAATGAGACCTTGTCTCAAAAGAAAAAAAGAAAGAAAAAATATGCCAATGGCAAAAAGCACAGAAAAAGACGCTCAACATCATTTGTCACTAGGGATTGCAAAGTAAAACAACAATGCAATATAGGTTGCATACTCCTAATCCAAAATTCCAAAATCTGAAGAGCTCCAAAATCAGCAACCTGTGCCGACCTGATACTCAAAAAAAATACTCATTGGAGCATTTCAAATTTCAGATTTTTGGAAAGGGATGCTGAACCTTAAGTATAATACAAATATTTCAAAGTCCAGAAAAATCTGAAATCTGAAACACTTCTGGTCCGAAACATTTCAGATAACAGATATTCAACTTG